AATTAATAACTAGGCCGTCCCAACGAGTCATGCTTTAAGTAACACGGCTAAATTGTGAACTGTAATAAAAGGATATGATGTTGAGCAAAATAGAAGGATAATTTCTAGGTTTGGTTGTGTTTGTAATTCATTTAGTATTCAATTGTGTAGGCGGGAATAAGTCTGATGCTGATCCTGTGATAACAGCAGAAAATACTGACATAACCTGTTCGCATTCATTGTAAACTAACGGGCGAAAGAATCGTCACCTCGCTTTTTTAACATGTCACAAAACAACAAACTCAGATTTTGGAAATTTAACAATCATATTTGGAAAATTAATTGATTGACAACATTCTGAATGATGAAAGTGTAAACTAAAGATATGAATAATGACTTAGTGTACGATAAAAGATAATAAAATAACTTTGGTGACGTTTCTTTCGCCCGTGAGTTTATTATGACACAATGGCGCTACTTCACTCTGAGAGTTTGGGTTCGAATCCCGGATGTGACTCAACATAGGTCTAGTATCTGTATCTTACTTATCTTATGTGCAACCCCAAATATAACATATACTATCCCCCCCCCAAAAAAAATTAATAATAATAATAATAATAAAAAAAATAATAAAATAAAATAAAAGAAGAGAAAAGCATAGGCGTTTTGTATTTTTTAAAATCTATAGATTGCCTATTGCGTTCAAACAATCGTCAAAATATGTAACAAAAGTGTTGATGACATGCTTTCGCACATTTGCACAAGTTAAAATTCGACTTTACCTGAAAATGTTGATTTTGATTAGATTTCTTACAAGGATTAAAAAGGCATCACCTCAACGCAACAGAAGTCACCTTCCAGTTGAAATTGTGCAGCAAAGAGCATTCACTGTCTGGCTATAAAAATCCAGATTACTTTCGGAAATCGGCATTCGTTTTGAAGGAGTTTCAAGGACAAATCACAACGCCACGTCTTGACGCTGCGACACGGAACATCGCCATTGAAAAAATGCACGCTGGAGATTACCAATCTTCTGTTGCCAGGCGTCCGAATGTTAGTCTGAGCATGATATCACGGCCTACAACTCGTTACAACCAAACAGGCATGACGAATGACCATCCCCGTACAGGCAGACCTCGAGTCACCACTGCAGCCCAAGATCGGTACATCTGGGCACTACATTTGCATGATCGTACTGACACGGGTGAGAGTCCATCAGCCAGGGTGCCTTGACTTTGAAGGTTATCCGATCAAACTGTACGGAACAGGTTGAGAGAGACTGGACTGCGAGTCAGGAGATCCGACGTCGGGCCCGTGCTACGTCGTCACAGTGGCACTCAACGTCTCCGTTATCTAAAATTTTCCACTTGGTTGTAAAGACATTGCCTTCTTCTAAACTGATGTAAAAATTCATTTCTTAAAGTCTATTTGTGGACTTATTGTACATGTTTGTAAATACAACATTTTCGCAACAGATTTCTGGGTTATGCGTTTCTCTTTTGAATAGTATATATTACATTTAACCACTTTCTGCCGTGAAGCCGTGTCAATTTACACTTGAGGCAACACAACCATGTACCGATCTTTGTTTTAGCTCCTAGCTGCTTATTATATTGTGAAACTGTTATTTGTAAGAGTCTCAATCATTGCCTTGCTTCTGTATGGGGGCCCCTGGACGAAATAACCTTCCTTGAGCCTCCCATTTATGATCCTGCAGAGATGATCGGTGGCTCCAGAAATTTCGGGTAGATCACAAATAGTGAGAAAATATAGATTGTAGAGCTGAAAGCTCGTGCCAAGTCGCAAATATCTATGCTGTGTCCTTTCTTTCGTATTGTTTTGGCGTTGTTGATTGGCAAGACAGGAAAATTAGGGCATTGATACCAACACACGAACGATCATGTCAGGACATAGAACCCACACATTCGCTCTTCCCAGATATATTTCTTTTGCACTTTGGCACATATTTAAATCTGATGCTTCAGTCTCTTGTGAAGCATGTTAAGGCTCATGATGAAAACAAGGCCTTCCACTGTTTTCCTGAGCAAGTATGCAGGACATAATATCAATGTCAGTGACGGTTTTGTTGATGGTTCTGTACTGTTGGAAGGCGTCAACCTTGTCACAGAAGATATGCACAGATTCGCTGTTAAAGTGAAGGATCTGTATTCTGTAAACGACCACTGCATCGAGTTCAGAAGAAATGCAATCCTGCAAAGTCCGCCATTTTCATGAAGTCAGTTGGCCTAAAAATTGAAAGAGAAGGCTTTGGATTTGCTGCTTAGGAACAGTCACTTCTCACTTAAAACCATATTATCCTGCCCATTCCGCTTTCAATCACCGTTATGGGGCCATTGTTGTAAGAGGCACATTCGGCCAAAGAAAACCTACATAGGGATCAAACATGTTCAGTAATAACTATGCACATACATCATTTGCCCTGACATATCTTGCCCAGGCCTAATTAAAGAGAATGACTGCGTCAGTAGTAATTTACATTGTTTTACAAGATTCAATTCATATCACGGCGGGGAACACGAAGTATTAGCTTCCTACATTGTACCCATGTGTACAGTCAAAACAGGACTGTGGCGTGACGAATCGACATTCAAAGGGGAAACACAGCTTCAAGGTAAGGTGCCTGTTCTCATGTTAAGTCTCGAGGTTGTAATTAAGGTAACATATGTGTGATTGTGGGACGTTATACGTTTGCAATAAAGCTGGGGTCAACATTAAACGCCAGATTTAACAGATATAATAAATTAGATAAGGCTCACAAATAATGTGGCTTTTAATGACGTGAATCAAATTTCGTTGGATTGTCAATCTGCAGGGATCCAGGTAAGCTATCGTCATCAGGCTTCCCACACTCCCCTTATATCTAAGGAACATGGCCAGACAAGGGTCCAACTACAGGTTCGTGAATATTCTAATTGGCCTTATGAAGCGTTATGTGCACATGTGCATTTAACTGCCTTTGATGAAATTTATGGCAATTGACACGATCAATATCAGCCCAGATTACAATTAATACCATAAAAGCTATGTTGTTGCTCATAGAGTCTTACAGAGGAATTCGATGCCACTGAAGAAAGTCCTAGGAGAATCATGCCAACGCGTTCTAACATTTTGTCATCCACATTAAAACTGACAAAGTTATGACTTGCAAGGACAGCCCCACGAACGAACTTCCGAGTAAACGTGATAGATTAAATAACATTGAATTTGAAACAGTGCATTCTAAGAAACAGGTTAATCAAAATGTAAATACACAAACAACATGAAACCCCAACAAGATTAATCAATTTATTCCTTAGGATCGCATTATGATCAAGGCTAAATAATCTGCTATAAGAACTTGCTATCCATTAACATGGAATTCACAGAAAGCTCTTCACACAAATAAGGCTGACCTTGCAGAAGAAATGAAGGTGGAGCGTATTCCTGGAGATGTGTTCTTATCAGACATGATCTATGCCTGGTGTCACATCTAAAGACATCAAAGAACAATTAATGCAGGCTTGTTTGTCCTTTGTTCACATAGTCATCTACGAATGGAAGCCCTATACAGACTACGTCTGGTAACAAATAGTCGTAATTACACATACTTCTCATAACAAGCTAATTCAGTCTGGTGATTTATCATCGGAAGCTATAGGAATGATTCAATGAACGCCTGTGGACAACAACACGGGTCATAGATGTTTAATCAAGTCACGACAAATGAAAATGTGTTTATATCCCTAGGAACAGAAACATCAACTATTTAATGGAATAGCCACCATGTAAAGACATCTGTTAATCAACGGAAATGTATCTCATAATGTGTATTTGCCGTCCTGGTGATAAGTATCTAATATATGTCAATACTTTCACAACCCTCTAGCCCTGGAATTGAAAGCGACCTTGTGCAGCTCCACACTGACCCTTCTGAACTTACTACCCCAGGTCATTTGCTCAAGGGATCCAAAGAATTGAAGACGAGAGCGATCAATGAATTGATTTATCAGCTTCCAAATACACTGATTTATTGCCGTTAGCAATTATTAATATCAATTAAGGATACACTCTACAACAAACATATATCAACATGGTTATCTCCTATCTCATAGAATATGCAGAATACGGTAAAATATGCAATTATTTTACAGACAAAGGAAGGTTCTAGTCTTATAATTTATTGATATTCTTATTATGGTAAAGGGACCACAACATACACTCTTAAGATGTTATATCCACACATCTTGTTTGTATTCACGCTTGATGCTATCTGACCCCTGAAGGTCCGGGTTAGAATTGATCTTCAGTAACCCATGCTAGTCGTAAGAGGCGACTAACGGGATCGGGTGGTCAGGCTCGCTGAGTTGGTTGACACATGTCATCGGTTCCCAATTGCGCAAATCGATGCTGTTCATCACTGGATTGTCTGGTCCAGACTCGATTAATGACAGCCCGCCGCCATAAAACTGGAACATTGCTGAGTGCGGCGTAAAACTAAACTCACTTAATCTTACATGTAAGCTCACCAACAGAATCTTCTCACGTTTGAATAATATTCTGTCACACACTTTTTGTGAACATTTTCCAGTAACTTACTATCTTTCGACAAGTATTTCATTTCCGGCAACAAACTGCAAACCGTACCTACGCGCTATGTCATCTCAGAACATCTGCCAAGATGTTCATCATTGCTGTTGACCCGTGAAGATCCGAGTTAGAATTGATCTTCTGTAACCCATGCTTGTCGTAAGAGGTTGTTATTTACAGACCGCTGCCACATAGCTGGAATGTTGCTGACTTCAGCGTAAATCTAAACTCACTGACTCATTGCTGTGGATCATTGGGAGATATATCGGAGTCAATCAATGTTGATATGATAATAATGAATGTTCTGAGAGTGCATCACCACTTGCACTTCCTTATGACCACAGTCGTTCGTACAGTATTCGCTCTTGGTGTATGACGTGAAATTTGCATGTGTACGATTTTCATTTTCAAACCCCCAAAATCGGCTAGAAACACCCACTAACAACTGTGTGATGCAAGATGATTGTCAAAATTAATGGTTTACAGTGAGTTATCGCCCTCCAAAAGCAAGAATGACACCCCACGCACATGTATGGGGCTACTCCGTTGTGCACGTGCATCCCATCCGTTGTGTTTTGAAAAGTTTGGTAACGCTTATACGTCCTATCCAAATTGAAAGCTCAGGTTCCCCTACTTTTTTAAGAGTATAATTTGATATTATTTATTCCATTCGGACTTGTACGGTATGCTCCTGTGTTTTTGCATGTAGATAATTAGCTTGCCTTTTCATGTGTTTGTGACATTTGATACTCACGTCACAGTCGGCCTCATTCAATCGACTCTGCTTTAGAAGCAATTTCCCGTGGCTATGGAAATAGTTTTACCACTTTAATTGTAGAACTATATATGATATCAATATGACAAAGTACTGACTGGCATTTCTTCGAATCCACGTGTTTGTATATACATGTATATATATATGTTCAGTTTTACAGACGTTGTCATCTTGGACCGTTGTGTTCAGGGTTCTGTTCTTAATGCGTTATTGACATTCAGAAGGACTATGTTCACTTATGGACACATTTCTGGTGCTTTTAACTCATTTGCAAATAAACACGCCATCGTCTTGTTTTTATTTACACTACCTGTGAGTGAGTGCGAATAGTTTTACGTCGCTTTTAGCAATTTTCCAGCAATATCACGGCGGGGGACACCGGAAATGGACTTCACACATTAAACTTATGTGGGGAATCGAATCCGGTTCTTTGGCGTGACGAACCAACGCTTTAATCACTAGGCTACCCCACCGCCTCTTTAAACTATTTAGAATGTGTGACCATAGTGACCATAAGCCAAGTCATTGTGATCAGATTTGCAAATGCTTTTAACACTAGACTACCTCAGTGTTCCAAACAAATCAGTCCTAGTAAATAGGTGCACGTTCCTTGTTTGAGTGGTATTCCATTATAGAAATTTGAGACTTGTGTCGCTATGATTGCTTTGCCGTGAAGATCCAGCTGCAGTAACCCATGCCTGACGTAAGAGGCGACTCATGGGATCAGGTGGCCAGGCTCGCTGACTTGGTTGACACATCGTATCCTAATTGCGTAGAACGATGCTCATGACGTTTATTACTGGATTGGGGCGGTGGGGTAGCCTAGTGGTTAAAGCGCTGGCTCGCCACGCCGAAGACCCGGGTTCGAATCCCCACATGGGTACAATGTGTGAAGCCCATTTCTGGTGTTCCCCGCCGTGATGTTGCTGGAATATTGCTAAAAGCGGCGTAAAACCAAACTCAGTCAGTCAGTTATTACTGGATTGTCTGGTCCAGACTATGAAATACACAATGCCATTTTTTAGAAAGTGGTCAAATGTAACATATGTTATATTTGGGATTATACTTTCTTAGTAAAGTACAGATTCTAGTACTTATGTTGGGTTGAGTCCAGACTATATTATTTGACTGTGGGAGGTAGTTTAAAGTGGCACAAGGCGAAGGAATGTTATCAGGATGGAACCCAAGACAAGTGGATGATATCAAAGGAAATAGTCAATCAATTTAACACCGGGTCAGCAGCAGGTGAAATTGTGATTATTTTGTAATTGTAACACAGCTCCTGTAATGACAGCTCCTACTGATACTTGCAAATGGAATCAAATGGATGTACGCGATAGGAATTCTATCGTTGCATATTATCATTAAAATTGGTCTTCAGCAACTTTGGGTTGTGACGTAGCGTAGTGGTTAAAGCGTTCGCTCGTCACGCCGAAGGGCCGAGTTCGATTCCCGATGTGGGTACAATATGTGAAGCCGTGATATTGCTGGAACATTGCTAAAAGTGATTGCTACTGACCGCCACCATATAGCTGGAATATTGCTGAGTGCGGCGTTAAACAACAAACTATATACAAAACACAAGTAGCTTACGAGCATAGCACGGATAGTATATACTGTGATGTTCGAACCCTAAGAACTTAGTTCATCTTTGTTGTACATGACCCTTTAATGATTATTGTGTTATGGCGTCCAGGTAGGCATCCAATACATTACATTGTACGGGTGAATAGAAAGGTATGAAATATGGATACAACCAAGGTAAGTAAATATGATCATATTTGTATTAATAAACAATACAGGATCAGGGCTAAGCGTAATGAATCGGGTTCCCCCATGTCAAATGTGCATTGCTTTATGGACGAAACGTAAATATGCACCAGAGATTATGGCCCGATAATTACGACATGCGAATCATCAACTGCTTTATGCCCGCAGCAAAATCATTGGGATAACTTGTGTTGATGTGTTTATCGCCTAAATGATGAAAATGATACGGTTTGAATGAGGTGGTGTTCTCGTAACTTGTGTGTACAAGTTTATAATTTGTAAAACGTGGAGATTAGGAAGCAGGCCAATGAATACGGTTCTCAGTCTGGTTGGCATATGTTCAAAATGAAAACTGCGTATTTTCATTGGCATTCGCCGATTTTAATATTTGGAATAATTAGTTGAATGACCAAAACATGCCAACTCATTAAATAGTCATACATACCTTCTTGATTGTCCTTAGATTTGCTCCTTTCGCGTGTTCGTGGTTGCAGTGACCTTCGGGAACCCTGCCAATTCTCAGTCTATGCCAGACTTGAAGTACCTCTTGCTTAAAAGCCTTCAAAATGAGCCTAACATGTGCTGGCTGTTTCACGTCATAGTGAGGCTTCCTGTGATATTCTTCCAACCATTGGTTTGTGTTGGTACAGACTGGATGACTTACAGACCTTCTTGACTGTATAGCTGACAATTGGACTTACCTTTTGACTGGTCCTTTTTTCACAACTATGTTACCCTTTTTGCCAAATGGATATTCTTTAGCGCTGAAGTTCTATGTTTATTAAAAGTTACCATGTGCATGTTCAGCAGCAATTGTGGCCAACGAATATCCATTTAAATATACTTTAACATGAAAGCAAAACCCTATCCGTAATTATGACAGTTCTCTACTAACTGACGAGAGTGTAATATGGACGGTTCCCATGTTTTGGTTCCAGTTTTGTTGCCCTAACTCGAACAATTGCATATATGTGTCTTATAGCGATGCATATACGTTAATATGGTTAAACACGACAAAACCATTCCATAATCAAAACAGATGTCAGCTGATACGATTAGGACAACATCACAAGCCCAATTGCGTTGATTGATGTTCACTGACTGATCACTGGATCGTCTGGTCCAGATGTGATTATTTACAAACCGCCGCCCTATAGCTGGAATATTGCTTAGTGCGGCGTAAAACAACAAACCAAACCAGCAACCCTATCAAGTGTTCCTGACTCACTGTGTAGGTAATGACACCGGGTGTCGTGTTAGTCCCACTTGTGAAATTGCAAGTACACGCAAATGTACGTTCATCTGAACTAACCTAGACTTGTTAGTTTCAGTTTTCGAAACTAAGCGGAAACTCTCATTTTCCGGGTACAGAAACCTGGCGGAAACCTACACTACGCAGTATCCACTAGGTTTCCGCAAGAGCAGAAACTAACTTATTTTTGCTGTGCCTGTATGGTTTGGTTTAAACGTTTGCAAAAGATGAGGTAGGGATACAAATGTTTTATGGTAGAATCCTACAGGTTCTTCTCTTGGCCATGGTCCACATGGACATTATCTCTGTAACGGACCTTTCTTTCTTTGACTAGACTTTTCCACGTATTTCCACGTTTCATGCTGTTCCAGACGCGTGATCAGAAACCAACAAGTCGATATGTTCTTCATTGCTATGGTTTCTGCGTTAGCCGAACGTACTCTCTTCTTCTGCGAAATGACCAAAGAACTAACAAAATGATATACCTCTATGAAATAATGTAATGTCCACAAGGAAACTATTGCTATTCACGCAATTCCTCCAACGTGAAGCTCAGAACGTATCATTACCGTACAGTTCTAGTAATGTACACCTTAACATAACTTGTCTTGGTCCAAATAAACAGTTTCACGTAGCTTTCAGTGGTAATTCAATACATGTCAAACTGGAAAAGAGACGACAAACTCCACGATCTGGTGCCTAGTTTCCATGGTCCAGACGTGGTAGTTAGTGTAAAACCTGTATAGATGTGGAACGTAATATTTGCATGATAAACCTTGTTGAAAATTAAATGCAAGATTTTGCCTCCGTGAAAAAACGGACAGACAATGTGATATTTAATGACATTTCCTATTGGCACTAGCACTGCCAATGTGCCCGCGTCTTGGTCCGCTACAACTATCACACCACCTCCACTTTCTCCATATCAACGCAGCATGGACGGAAAAGCTCTAACAAGGCCTCATTAAGAAGGTTAGAAGTAGTTCTGGCGCTATGTGTACCAATGGATTCAACTGCCTTTGATGTCGGATGAAATTTGACACGTTCAATATTAACCCAGATTTTTAATGTCACCACAAAGGCTATTCTATTGCTCATATTGTCTTAGAAAGGACTTCAGCGTTACTTAAGGTCAGTTGCTGCAAGAGGAGAATTATGCCAACACTTCCCAGCGTGTTTGTCATTTACTTTAACGCTGACATTCGCATGACATTGATGGATAGACCGACAAACGAGGATCGGCCTAAACGCCACAGAATAAATAACATGAAACTTGAAACGATGGATTCAAGGGAAAACGTGGGCAGTTTCGACGTAATGTAACTGCACAAACAGTAATATGAAGATTGATCAGTTTCTTTAGTAGCATGTATATTATAGCATTATAAAAAAATATAATCGGCTATAAGTACCGGCTAGCAAATAATACTGAAATCACACAACACTGTTCATATAAATAACGATATCAAAGGAGAAGGACTGACGTAGTACTTTAATCCTGGTAAAATTATTCTGATTATTCCTGATAACAGATATCTTCTTGTTCCCTATCTTGATAGTATTGGAATCTCACTAAATGCAATTTAAATCCTATTTTACTAAATAGGTCCTCGAAAGGTATAAGAATGGGAATTGTGGCCATAATAATTACCTTGAAATATTTTCACCATGCATAAGACTCAATAATCTATATTTTAGAATTTATTTTATACTGCCATCTACGAATAGAAACATAGTCCTACGCTAACTAAATCTGGTCAATAAGAGTCATTATGACACGATAATCCAATCGCTTGATTTATCATTCCATTTTTCTATTTAATAGGAAAGTAAAAGAAATAATTTGGTCTGCAACTGCGGACAAGAACACTAATCCATAGATTGGAACCAAACCTCTTTTAATCAAATCAAGTGAAGTGAAAATATTTTACAGGAACAGAAAAACCTACTTACATAATAGAGTATCCACCGTGTAAAGAACTAGAGGACGTGGGGGCTCCGTTAATCAAGGAAAATGTATCTGCAACTGTCACGTCCTCATGATATGAATCAAACCTTTGTCAATACTTTCACAACCCCCTTCCGTAGAATTGACAACGACCTTGAGCAACGCCATGCTCCTCGACTGACCTTAGTCAAGGTCATCTGCTCAAGGGATCCTAAGCATTACCGACGAGATCGATCAATGGACTGATTTATTAACTACCCAAATTACATTGATTTGTTTCTCGTTAGTACTAATGAAGGATGTTCAATAAAATGGACATTTATCAATGTTATTAACCCAAACTCAAATAATATACAGATGCGTTAGACCAATATCCAGCAAACTTTTCAAATAATATGCGCTTAGAGAAACGGTGGAAATATATTCTCATTATTCTCAATGAAGTAAGATAAAAGGACGCACACAGAATACAGTCTTAACACATTATAATCATGCCCCTTGCTGTTTGTATCTGGTGTGTCTGGGTTTTACCTATTTCTAAAACATAAGTGATGATAGCAGACGTGTAAACTGACTCATGCACGTAATACTTCAACACCATCAGCATCACCTGCAATTGATACAATTACATAAATTATGGCCCCTGAAGATCCGGGTTAGAATTGGTCTTTAGCAAATCATGCTTCTCGCAAGAGGCGACCAACGGGATCGCGCGGGTGGTCAGATTCGCTGACTTGGTTGACACATGTCATCGTAGCTTATACTCATGCTGTTGATCACTGGATTGGCTGGTCCAGACTCGAATATTTACAGACCACCGCCATATAGCTGGAATACTCCTGAGTTTGGCGTTAAACAACAGACAAACATAATTTATGATACTTGGAGCAAGTTGATTTGTCTCGTTTTGTCTCTTTCGGAAGTATGGTAACCTGAAGGCAATGAGTATTTCCGACGCGAAAAGAATACTTCAGCCTGGGTCATTTCGGAACACCTTCTAAGATTCTACTCTTCATGGTACAAGTACATCCATCTGTGAACAATGTAATACAAAATTGGGGATGATGAATGTGAAACATTAACGCCAGGGGCGTAGCTACCATTATGATTAAGCCCCGGGCTTACACATAATTGTTGCTAAAAAGGTTGGAAAGCCCTCAAAACTATCTAAATAAAAGCTTTACAACCTATCGGACTTACACGAAAAAATGGCTTGCAACGCGCCTGAACGCAAAAGACAGAAACAGTTGGACGTGAAAGGCAAAAACAGCCGTGAACATTACATGAATGCATCTCTGAAAATGTGTACTAACACATGGTGTCCCCGGAAAGGTTGAGCATGTCGTACCCCACAGATCCCGCCGTGCACACAATTTGCAAAAACCAAGTGTCTAGTCTCCATCAGTATCCAGTGTCACGATAGCGCGCGTATTTAGTCACACACGTTCGTGAACGTATTGTCACGTACAAACTGTGTAGCATTCCTGTCCACCTCATTTAAAAGGTAACTTACTGCGCGTTGTACTTGTCACGTAAAAACTGTCTATGTTATTATATCATGAGTCTATATAATCACGGTTACTTCTTCCCTGGGTTGAAAAACATAATTTCCGTTAAAAACCAATGACGTCTTCAGCAGGAAATTTATGTAAAATGACAACGTTGCAAACATAACAATTTATCGAAGTCTTTGCGGCTTTCTTCGGTGTTCTACGACCAATGAATCCTCACTCTAAGAGCATATTGATGGGTGAGCTCTTAAGAGTGTTTCCTCCAAAAACACATAACCCAATGAGTCATCGACATGGATGAACTCTCTGGAATCATTAATAGCCATCTTCAGGGTTTCAACTAATGGTTCTAAATGGTACTTTGGCAGTCTGTTACCTAGGTGGCGTTTCTAAAGTACGCACGCATTTGTTAAATCATCAATATTCTTTTACGGGATGTGTTGTTGTGTTCAGTTGTTGGTTGAGTGAGTAAGTGAATGTAGTTTTACGCCGCTTTTAGCAATATTACAGCGACATCACAGCAGGGGACACCAGGGCTTCACATATTGTACCCATGTGGGGAATCGAACCCGGGTCTTCGACGTGACGTGCGACCACTTTAATCACTAGGCTACCACACCACCCGGCACGCCTGAGAAAAGCAACTCGACTAGACGATTGGGGCACCGGTATCCCACAGTAAAGAAGGAGATAGGCAATATGTCTCTTCCTACCGCCGTCGGATGACAGGAGTTCCGGGTTTTGGCGTGAGGCAAAAAATGCTTCCTTTTTAGTAAAACTTGTTGCGGACGTCATCAATAAATCTTTACACTTAGCTTTTTGAGGTTGGTTGAAGTAAATATAATATTATTAATACGTTGGGTGTCGATATGAACTCCTTATGCTGAAGGTGTGATTACTGTAGACTACGAAGTTCCATGGTACATACTGTACCAGCAATCAACACACTGTACCAGCAATCAACATACTGTACAAGCAATCAACGTGTTCGGGTACTGACATTAAGCGGTCAACACATTGCCTGATCTACCAGTCTGTTGAAGCTGATTGGTTAAGACTTTGTGTGCTGGTTAACAGGTGCCTGCCTCAGATTGTGGGTTCAAATCCCGGATGGGACTCAACCCAAAAGAGTATTAGAACCTGTACTTTACTGAGAAAGTGTAAACCCAAGTATAACATGTGTTTTTTGAAGTCCCAACAATTACGAATGTTACATTTGACCACTTTCTAAAAGGAACTATGTGAGTGTGTGAGAGTGAGTATGGTTTTACGCCGCTTTTAGCAATATTCCAGCCAAATCATGGCGGGGGACACCAGGAATGGGCTTCACACCACATTGTACCCATGTGGGGAATCGAACCCGGGTCTTTGGCGTGACGGGCGAATGCTTTAACTATTAGTCTACCCCCACCACCCCGGAACAATGTGACAAAAACCCACAAATGTTAATGTCGTTGGAAACATGGCGTTGAAAATGTTACACACATCACTTTGTACCTCTGTATTGTACTCTCGAACATATTAAAGTGGAATAAACATAATGTGTCAATATCAAGGAAGCACAGACAAAAAACTAATCTTCCATGTAGAATTATATTTGTTTAACTTGAAAGGAGTGTTCCATCTTCATCCATCATAACAATCATGTGTTTTTAAATTGATGAGTCATCATAATGAAAATATACATATGATACATAAAAACATGATAAGTTTCTTTTTACTTGAATATATAACGCTCCCGTGAGTTTGGGTCATGTGCATGCCACATATCATACACATTTTGGCCATAATGTACAAGCACCTTTTCAAATCAATTTCCTAAGTTATTTGCGTGAATGTTGAGTTAAGAACACGGAAAAACAATTACCATGTGCACATACGAAACTGAGAGGCCTATCATGTTCTCCTCTTGAACTATATGGAAATAATAAAACAGCTAAATTATCCTTTGCATAAATATAGAGAATATCTCAGATCTTCGAGTGCACCCATGACGAACAATGCGATTATTACTGCACCACATATTTTACGCCCATTCTTCAATTTATCCCAATCTTCACAGACATCAGTTTCTTTTCCAGACAATCCTATGACCAATCAAAAAGAAACAGCCAAACTGGCATCGAAATATCAATATTAGGTTTTAAAAACCTCGACTTCTCGGCGCCAATGATTCCGAAACAGTTCACAACATCAAATAATATGATACACAGTGGAATGGGTTTTTTGTCTTTTGCCAGGGAACTCAACTTGGCAACCATTGGTGCTATGACTCAGCGAATTTGGATTTGAGCTCCTATCTATATGACACCCGGTGCTAAGAATCGGGATATTTGATCTCACAAGAGTGTCGTAAATCACCTAAATATATTTGGAAATGTGTAGCTGGAATTATATTTCTTCTGAGGTATGATACAGATAGAAAACGATATCTGAATGCGATCGCCTTCGTGTACCCAGTCAACCGTTTGCTTTAAAATGCCAACCATTATTCATCGAAGCTTTAAAGTCGTGACGCCACTGTCCAGTTCGCACACGGTGCTCCACGGCGATTGTAATGTATGTGGCAAGTTGTGAACTTAGGGCCTGTTCGATTATTGCGAAACTGGTTTTGGTTTTTGAAACTGGTTTCTCCTGTTATAAACGAGTGTCTAGTTTCGGATACGTGGTTTCAAAGTGAAACTAGTTTCTAGTTTTATAAACGAGTGGATGGTTTCACCATCCGGTTTCAAAATGGATACCAAAACAATGTCTCAGCTACTGCATATGTGGAACGAATTGGATGACAGCATATGTGTTTCATTTTATCAGTGAATTAACAAAATTTATAATAATAAAGAGATGAGATGCTTTTGGAGGTAAATATTTGCGTATATGTAATAATACTGTTACAAGTAATTATATATACAAGTTACATAATATAGTCATGTTCAATTGACTGGGGTTTTCAATAATATTTTCCTAGTTCTCAGTTGATTTTTATCATTGTTTTGGTTCCAAAACTGCTGCTCTATTTTGCCACAAAGATCAGCTGAACTTCGCGCTTTCGTTTCCGCCATGTTTGTTGTGAGAGAACGCGAAACTGAAACTGCGAAACCTGCCTCGGCGATGGTTTCGAAGTTTCAGAACCCAGTTAAGGGTTTCGACATAATCGAGTGCATGGTTTTCCCGAAACCAAAACCGGTTTAGCATAATCGAATAGGCCCTTAGTACATTTTACGTAGAAATTGGATCATGGCTGATTTTACACAGCGATAGATTTATCAGTGAATATGTGATCTAATCATTTGAATCTATTTCTCGACGAACTTTTATAAGAATGTTCTTTTGGTTACATGCATCTGTTTTCTACTAATGAGATTTAATGTTATATTTGCAAATTAGTTACCATGTGAAATCTATTATGATTTCAAAACTATAACGCACCTATTGGGATTTCGATTTTGACTTTTCCTAAGAGAATATCATCCGCGAAGATCCAGGTTAGAATTGGTCTTTAGCAACCCATGCTTGTCGTAAGAGGCGACTAACGAGATCGGGTGGTCAGGCTCGCTGACTTGGTTGATACATGTCATCGAGTCCGAATGGCGTAGATCGATGCTCATGTTGTTGATCACTGGATCGATTTCACAAAGGTAGAAGTCGCGGTGGCTGAGCGGGTTAGGCGGCTGACTTTCTGTGCTGGCGATTAGGTGCCTGACTCTGAGGGTGTGGGTTCGAGTCCCGGATAGGGCTCAACTACAAAAAAGTACTAGATTTTCCCAAATATAACATATGTTAGATCACTGTATTGTCTGTTCCAAACTGGATTATTTACAAACCGATGCCATATAGCTGGAATATTGCTGAGTGCGGCGTTAAACAACAAACAAACAAACAAACAAACAAACCTAAGAGAAGATCGGG